AACGGACCTAAGGAGACGACTCAGCCATGGGACATTCAGATGTCGCAGCCGTGGAAAGACCCGTGTGCACTCTGCCCCACACATGCGTAAGCTGGGGTCTGCACATGTGCCGCGGAGTGCCTGCTCCATCTCTGCCCTCATTCTGCTCACAGTGATGGCCCTGGAGGAGGAGCCGGTCAAGAGGTGGAACAGCGCTTGCTCTTCGTTTACATGCTGTTTATATCTATTTGCACAGACGATGTATGCAAAAAGAATATACAGTCATCAGTATGTAAAGGAACGTTCGTTCTAAGAAAGGCTCACTGTTAAAATGATGCTGCAAAGGAAAGCAGGCCTCCATGCCCACCTGTAACCCAGAGAGGAGAGCCCTGCTCTAGCGCCCCTGCTCAGCCACCAGCTCGGCGTCGTCACAGCTTATTTACAAATAAAGAGTGTTCTAGAAAGAGGTACCCTGACCTAGAGGGAAGGTGGCCTGAGGACCAGGGCCTTGGTTCCCCCCAGTCGGGGCAGTTTGTGGGCCATGACATCAACTTCCTTGATGTCAATCTGTCCATCTGCCCAGCTTCTGTGATTACTAATAACCACTCTCTGGCTCTACAAAATGCCTCCTCAGCCCCCAGCTGCGATGAAACCACAATTTCTGCAGTTCTCTTCCTTGACATAATCAATTTATTCAAGCAGCTAAAAATCATAAAGCTACAATTCCTTTCCTTTACGTTATGTCTTTGCTTTATAACTCAACATATATACACCCTTGTGCCTGTACCATCCCATGGGCAAACACTAAAATTGGCTCCTATCTAAATTGCTGATTTACCCCCCTAATTCACATTTTCTTGAGCCTCCCTCCTTAGGCGGGACTGATGTCCAAGTCCCAGGAGACGTAAATTTTGCCGTGAGAACATGAAAACCTGAGGTATCCCTCCTGCCTTTCCAATCTAACCAAGAGTGTTCTCGCTGGTCTTAAGAAACACACTCCACTTCCAAGGTTTGTCCTGCCAGACCTCATGTGATAAGGGTGGCCTATTAGGTACCTCCCACTCCACCCCACAGTCAAGAACACCTTCTGTGCTGGGCCTGCAGTGGTGGAACCATCGCCAAAGGCTCGGGCTGGAGGAAGGTATAGGCAGAAGGGGTACAAAGAAGGCTTAAGAAAACAGAAACCTCCATGTGGACCCGATCCCTTCTGCTTCCCAGACAGAGCCACAGAGGAACTGTTTGGAAAGTGGTGCGAGGCTGCCCTGCAGGGCGGAGCTTTGCCCTCCAAGGTGGGCATCCCACGAGGGAGCCCTGGCCACCCCATCAGCTGCCCAGAAAAGGCCGGGGGCCTAGGCAGTGCTACTGGAGGCTGAGGACAGTCCCTGGAGCAGTTCGGCCCAATTCAGTCCTTGGGGCTGAGAAAGCAAACCCCTGAACTTACTTTATCTCAAACAACACTTTGAAGGGACCAGATTAGTTTTATGGGAGCGGTCTGGAGAAGAGGAAAACATGCAGTCAGAGAGGTCTTTATCTGCATTTTTGCACTCTGACTCGTATTCCCAAACACGCATACGCAGACAGATAGGCAGGCATGGGGTTCCGGTACCACCACCAGCCGCCCTTCTCAGGCCCAACCCTCACGAGCATGCTTTTTGGCTGGTCCTTGCACCAGGGCCGGGCCTGTTCTGCTCCGATGCTCCAACGCCAGGGTGCCTGGATGCCCACCCATCATCCAGGCAGAACGCTAGTCCTGGGAACCACTGGGAACATCTGTAGTTTTATGGTAACTTCCTTCCGCCCCAGGCTTAGCTGATAGCCTCCTCCCTCTTTTTCTCACACCCCCCAGTCATTGGACTGGAACAGAAATACCTCATTAGCCGATCAGTCTCCCAGACAGCACCAAAGAGTGGGAAAAGATCTATAAAACCTCACCCATGAATAGCCCCAGCCAGCTTTTCCTCCCTTCCACCTTGTAAACTCCCAGGGCCCAGCCAGGGAGGGCGAGGTCACTGTCCCCGCGACAGTGGCCTCGGGGCTTGAGTGTTCTTCTCATTGAGCTTGGCCTCTGGGCACTGCCCTGGGAGGTCCAGGCAGCCCTTTAAACCCCCAGGCGTCTCCAGCCCCAACCTTGGGCCACGGAGGTTCCAGGTGGTCAGGCTTGGGCTCACTACTGTCCTGGCACCTTGTATGGCATCTTTGCCACGGCTGGGCCCTGCACAGAGGGCACCCCCCCACCTCTCTCTGCACCCCAAGATGGTCCAGTCCAAGGTGCCCTGGGGAGAGGATGCTGCAAGGTACCATCTGACACGTGTTACCTGCTGGCAAAGTGCCAGAGGAAGCATTCCTCCCCCCCACCCCCAACTTCTTGAGAATGGGGTGTGGTGAGCTTTCCACCGGAGGGAAGGCACAGGCTTGGGACACCCAGGGTTCTGTTTGGCAGGAGCTGCTGGGACACCATGCTCCTTGCAGGGCGGGTTGGCCTTGCTGAAGTTCTGGGCAGATTCCTTTTCAAATGCCTCATCCTCCCCCCAGCTGGCTGCATCTATAGAATGAGGTGGCTAGCCTGGAGCGTAAGGCTCTAAGAAAAACCAGCTCTTCGTGAGGAGCCACTCATCTTCTGCCTTCCAGCTGTCAGGAGGGTTACCACTGCCCTCGTTGAGGCCGGCTGTGGCCGGGGCAACCCGGTGCGGGCAGACCACCCTGCAGAGTGGCCCAGCCGCCTCGACGGCACTGCCCAGGCCTTTGCCGAGTGCCTGTGGGGTCAGGCCAGTTGCAGAAACCTTTCTTTTGAGGTCTTCTCTCCACTGAAAGCGGTGGGTTAAGGTTAGGGACGAGGTTTGCTATTTCGTCACTGCCCTTGGAGCACCAGGTTCTGCCTAATGGACATTTCTGTATCTTGTTTAGGGTGGAGACTATTATTGCCATGTTTTGATGTGGAATTCCAATCAAAATAAGTGCTTTGAAACTCTTTACTGAAATAGAGCCCAAAAGGGAGACCTGAATCTCTTGACTTCTTCCCTGTCTCCTCTCCCACCTCTGGGTCCTGCATGGGTCCCACCGGAGCCCCCAGCCCTGAGTCCAGGCCCAGGGGTGGTGGAGAGGCCAAGTGGGTGGCTAGGGAGGGCAAGGGGCTCTCCAGGCCAGCCAGGGGGTGACGGCCAGGCCTGGGCCAGGGTGCAGTCCCCTCTGTGGGGCCCCGAGGACCAGGTCAACACGTGGGAAACTGAGGCAAGGGCTTGGATCCTGTGCTGGGTGGGGGAGCACCTCCACTTCAGGACAGTCACTTGGCAATTAACCACTTCACTTGCTCAGAGAACAAGACCACCTCTCCTCACTGGTTTAACCAGGTCTCGAACCAGCTGTCACCTCGGCATGGTTCTGGACCGAGGGCAATGCTAACGGGGCGAGCAGCCCAGTCCAGACTCCACAGCTGAGAAGTCCAGCACCGACGTACAGCTACTGCAGAAGGGGCCAGGGTTTTCTTGCTTCCCTGGACCAGGGCGCTGACGGAGGCTCCTGCTGGGTGTTCCCCTCTGGGTGGAGGTGTCGCCTGGTCGGTGACCACGCAGCTTCCTAGCGGTTCATTTCCTCATCTCAGCTGGAGGGCAGAGCTCATTCCATCCTGTCTGCTCACCCTGGGAACGTGATTGGAAACGCTGATGCTGGAAACATACCGTTCCTGGGGTAGCAAAGATCAGAAACTGCCGCTAAATAAGTGACTCCCAGGCAGGCGAGTCCTGGGGACTTGCCCACAGGAACATAACTAGCAGATTCCAGCTTAGTGCTCACTTGGCCCCACCCAGGCCCATCCCGACAGCAAACTCGGTTAAGGCAGAGCTCTCATGTCTTCTGTTGACTAAATGACAAAACCGGGTGTCCCTGAGCATTTATTACCAAAGGGACGATCTACATCCTGAGATGAACTGTGGGGAGAGCCCCAGGCCAGGGGGTGCTGATCGTTGTTTAGTCGCTCAGTCGTGTCCGACTCTTTGCAACCCCATAGACTGCAGCACACCAGGCTTCCCTGTCCTTCACTATCTCCCAGAGTTTTCTCAGACTCATGTCCATTGAGTCAATCATGCCATCCATCTCATCCTCTGTCGTCCCCTTCTCCTCCTGCCCTCTATATTTCCTAGCATCAGGGTCTTTCTAATGAGTTGGCTTTTCACATCAGGGGGCCAAAGTATTGGAGCTTCAGCTTCTGGGTGAAAACAGGTGGACACACACTCAAGTCCCACCAGTCACTATGCGATCTTGGGGATCCCACTGTGCAGGCCTGACCCACAGGAGGATTTGGAAAGGGCAGGCTCCCATACCCTTGTCTCCCTGAGACCACCACCTTCTGTGCCTGGGGCTCCTGGGCCCTCTGCGAACACTCACGCCTGGACTGAGGCATCCCTCCCAAGGTGCTCAGGTCCTGCTGATAAAACAGCCTCAGTCCTAGGACCTGCCCCTTACCACAGGAACTATTTTCACAGCATGAGCCACGTAAGAATGCAGTGTTAGTTCCATAGCCTGTGTCCTCGCTGACGTCAGCCAGGCTCTGGCCTCTCAGGAGGTGTGGGGGGAACTTGGACAACCATCCCAGGAGCTCAGAAGACGGGAACACCAGTGCGGCCGGACTGGCCACCCCCCCGCCCCCCAAAGGCCCGTGCCCATAGATGCAAAGGCAAACTACCCACAGCCATGGCCGGCGAGGCTGTCACTCGGCATGGGTCTGAGGGCCCCTCCTGCTGCCGCACCTGCTCAGAACCAGCACAGGGCAGCGGACCATAGGGGCAAGGGGACCCGCTGTCTGGGGCAAAACTACTGCGGGGCAGCTCAGCTGTGCCTCAGTGGTTTCTAAAGAAAACAAAAACGTGGTCAAACAAGACCAAATCAGCAGGCTGACTGGTTGGCTGCAGCCAGACACCGGCTGTGCCCCAGGCTTGCTGCTCTGCCTCTCAGAGGGCCAACACATACCAACCAGGGGGAGAGTCATTTATTTCACGTTTTCACAGATAACAGCATTTTGACACTTATTCCTATTTAAAAATCAGACGTTTATTATACCAACACAGTAAACAAAGCACACAGAAGCAACATATGCAAAGTACACGTAAGAGCAAAGAATCAACCCTCAGGCAACTTTCTAAAATGACAGTCACTGTTACATAATTCTGAAGGTCAGGAGCTTCTAATGAAGGGCTGTGCTGAGCTGCCCATCGCCCCCAGGCTGGCTCGAGGCACCAATGGCACAGGCGGTGGGGGGGCGGGCCCACGGTCCACTCCCGCTCAGCTGAGCCTCACGCCATCCATCACGTGCCTGCACTGTGGCTTCTGGGGTATTTTAAGGCCACCCTTCCCTTTGGGCAATCCCAGGAAGCTTAGTTTCTATTCTTAACTTCAAACATTTGTGGGAAAGAGAAGCACCATTAGCACAGGTTCCCGCGGCGTACGACAAAGCCTGACGGTGCCTTTATCAGGTGCAGGAGGCACACGGCCCCCCACCCCCGAGTATCACCACCACGTTGAACACTAGAGGAACCAGGGAGGTGAGAAAAGGAGGAGACAAGAATGTGGACACTACACCCTTTTCTCTTTTTTAAGTATTAAATTCAGAAGTAAACAGGAAGAAGGAAAAAAAAAACCATGAATCCATCATATTATCAACAAATCTTAAAGAATCTTATCCTGCACTTCTATCAAAAGTTACTAAAACTTCGGGAAATCTAAATAATGGACATATCAATGTTAATTCTGAGTAGGTGGGCAGCAGCTCCTTGGGCCTAGTAGACAAGCTCTGGCTTTCTCAGAGTGTGGAAATGCAGATCCACACGCTGAGGGATGGGTGGAGAAGGTGCAGTGGGTTTTCCCATGTGCCTCAGGGACCTTCCGTGTTTGGGTGGAAGAACTGACTTAACTCAAAGGGGAAACTCAATTAACATTCAGGATCTTGAGGTGGTTCATCCAGGATGGGCATGAAGGCATCACACGGGCCCACGGAGACTTGCTGATGAGGGTGCGCCTCTTGACACAAGCTCTGCGGTGAGGACCTTTGGGGAGGTCACCCCACAAGGCGCAGGCGGCCACTGACTGCCGGCTTCAGCAGCCCCACGGCTCTTCCTTTCATGTCCAGGGTCCATGCAAGCCTGGGCCCACCGGGGCTACGAGCAGATGCATGAAAAAGATTCTCGCTGTGATCTTTCCTGCAAAGGAAACAGCAATAAAGTTTACTGCCGGGTCACAACGGAGGAATTCTTGTAAACAAGTAACCTTTGCTCTCAGCTTTGGAGAGAGGACCATGAGCAGAGAACAGGGAGAGACCAGGGTGCATCTCACAGCCCGAGAATGGGCTTTACAGCGGCACCGCGAGCCATCTGCTTCGCTCACACACGGCTGTGAAAGCCGGTGGCTGTAACCTGGGCTTCAGTCACAGGACAGATCCTAGAGAGGCGGCCTGTTTCAGACCCGCAGCCACTCCGCCTGCTTTCTGGCCATGGTACACCATGACAGAGGTGGGCGCTGCCCACGTCACACGCATGGCACTAATGGCATTCTACCTTTTCGGGTGGAAGCTCATTTCTCTTGTGTCAACACAACTCTGACTCTACCGACCCCCACACACAGGACACATACAGAGGGGCCACCGCCGCTGCCAGTCAGCTCTGCTGCGGACGCTCGGGCCGGTCTTCACGCAGCTGCAGTCCCAGCTCCCAAGCCTCTGGGCACTTACAAACAGGAAGGCTTTGCTCTAGGGCTCGACTCCTGTTCCTGCTGAACTGAGCCAGTGTGTAAAATGAGAACTGATATCAGCTCAGTAGGCACCGGAGGGCGGGTCCAACTGCCCGGAGAAGCAGTGCCTCGGCTGGGAGCTCGCGCAGCCTCGTCCCACGGGCGCTGCAGGAGAGACGCAGACCTGGACTGCAAACACAAGAGAGAGTTCACCGCGCTCGGAAATCACAAGAGTAAGTCTCCTTTCAAAGTACCCAGCTCTACTCACATGCCATCTACCGCTGACGGTCTTACTGGACGTCTATGATTCATTTGCTTTTAGATTTTTAAAAGAATAATTTTGCAGCTTTCAATACATTTGAACTTTCAGACAGATGTTTACTTAGTGGATTTTTATTTCTGTAGACTTTGGGACCAAAATGTCTGCATTCGTAACAGGACAAAGTGCATCCTTGGGGCCAGGCGGGCCCTTATCCTCCAGAATCCTGCTCGGCCCCAAGCTGACCGCTCAGCAGCGGCCTCTGCCTCAGCAGCTCCACCTTAACTGGCCCCATCTCACCTTCTCTTCAGGTGCAGAACTTAGCCACTGTGAACAAAGCGGAAACCAGTCACTGTTCACCAATCAGCTAAGCTCTGCACCTCGTCAGAGAGGTCGTCGCTGGGCATAAGGAAAGGGCCGGCGAGCATCTTCCGAGGCTGTCAGCTTCTTCTGCTTGCAGAGAGGAGCTACGAGATGCGTCTGTTCCCCGAACTGCAGAGAGCGCAACTACGGCTTCTTGAGCAGCAGTTAGGGTCGTGGTTGCGTGGTAATCCCTGGCAATGTGATTTTAATCTTAAGTCACAAATCAGCATGCCAGGAACCCAAGCAGCCAGAGCACTCCGGGCGGCGGTGCCGCCCACATCGTACGCACCAGCTTCCTCAGACACAAGGCGACGACACCACCTCCAGGCCTGCTACACTACCGCCTGGGCTTTACTTCTGCTTGGTGTTCATTTACTCGGCACCTTAGGGGTATCATTTTTAAAAATCAAAGGACTCACAGATGACCACACAAATGCCAGCACAGCTTTGGGAGATGAAAAATGCACAGCTGGTCGGGGGTTGCCGTGCTCAATCTCTCAGCCCATTGCCCCTCAGGGCGCAGGTTCTAAGTGTCGGGGATGTCTGTGGGGACCCTCAAGGGGTGGGATGGATTCCCGACTGCTGGAGGGTGCAGCCCCGCCACGGTCCTTCCCCGAGCAAGCAGGGAGCGGGCATAGGGCATGTGACTGGCCCCTACGTCCATCCAGGAGTGCGGAGGGGTGGGGGGCTTCTGACCAGACTATTCCTCTGCCTGCTTAGGGCAAAAACGCACAATGAACAATGACCACAGCTGTGGAGCCCGCGGTGGCCTTCCACCACTTGGAGCCAGGGAACATCAAAGGCACAGTCTGCGCCACTGCAGCTTCACACGCTTCCAGAAACACAAACTGTGAAGTGACAAATCTAAAGAGAAATACGATTTGTACTGATCACTGTATGAGGCTGGCAACATGTAACTGTGTAACCGCTCTGGCTTTTAAACTGGGCTGTCTCTGAACAGGCTCGCAAGCTGCCCGACGGGAGTGCTGGGGAAGCCTGCACACAGTTGCTTCGCTACGAGACTCACAGTCGGGGCAACTATTCCCACTACTTCCCTTCCTGGCCAACACAGCTCTTCAACCCTCTTGGAAAAACCTCCTCAGTAGTAAGAATTCTCTCAGATAAATAAGGCAGTTAAACATATTAGACAGAAATGGTTTTTTATAAGAGCAAAACATTAGAAGCAAATTAAATGCCCAACAATATCAACATAAAATATTAAACATCCATTAAAATTATAGAAAATCTATACAACATGAAGAATGAAATCTGAAGTTAAAAAAAAAAAAAGACACAAAATCAGACATGCCCTGTTATCATGTAAACCTTGAAGAAACCTGGAGAGTCACAGAAATGATAATGGTAAAGAAAAAAATACTTTTAATTCCACAGTTTTACTTATAAAACCTACAAATCATTGCTAAATTACATTTAGAAGCATGAATTCGGTTAAAACTGCTCAAATGTAGATCTAACAGGTCAATTTCAAGCACAATTAACAGAGGAAGCAGTTTAAATCATTTAGGACTCCCACTGCTCCAACATGAGGCAGCCTGCTGTGGACACGCTGTGTGGAGAGGCGCCCGGCAGAGCCACCCTGCCAGCCTCTCCTGCCGGGGGGGACCACCCGAGGGACCTCAGGTTCCCACACACCTCCTCACAGCTCAGGGTGCCGGACAGCCCGGCAACACACCCCCACATTAGCCTTCACCCTGAAGACTGGGGGGCAGGGTGGGGAGGTCATGCTCACCTTCTAACCTACCCAAGATGTTCTCCTGTGAGTCCTGCTCCCCCAAATAACAAAACCTGAAGCGGTCAAAACAGCGCTGGGGAGGGGGCTGTTCTGCGAGGGTGGACGGCACAGGGTTTTGTGGCCGCTCGGCCAGATGAGATGCCACCTACCCCTCACTCAGAGCGGGAGCCCAGGACTGAAGCCACCAGGGCTCTCGGCTCACCGTTTGGCTTACTGACTTACTTGGCTCCTAGGAGGAATCTCAGCTAGAGCCGAAGAATGGAAAAGGGAGAGAGAGAGAGAATCACCTCATTAAAATAACATCTCAGCCACCACCTCGGCTGAGGATCTGTCCATCTGCTCCCTGCTCAGCTCAAAGCACCTGCGGGCGAGATGCTGCTGCCGCGGATCCTCACTCAGCATCAGCTCCCCGTAGAGGTAGATGCCCATGGCCTGTGGGAGGCAGAGAGGCCAGAGAGCATAAGGAAAAGGAATCACATGTCCCCACGCGCTCGAGTGCACAGTCTGTGTTAGCTTCACACAAACTTGCTGGGCTGGAAGTTACAAAGGCCCTAGAAAAGGCAGACAGCTGAAGAGTGGTGCTTCAGGAACCTGCAGTTTCTGGTCCCCTTCTCCTCACTGAAACTCACCCAAGGAATTCTCGGCTATCAATTCCATCAACCCTGGTGGCTGAACTGAGGACAGAGGGAACACTTCTCTAGTGACGGGGACAAGAACAGGGAGGCTCCCATGACGACTGACCCTATGGGAACCCCTGCAGTTGCGAGGAGACCTGAGTGCTGTGTGTGTGACACAGACATGGATCTGCCTCCTTCCAAGCACAGCTGGGAAATGAAAACCACCTGTCACACGGGTGGGGGGGACCTCAGGCCGCCCTGGAAGACTCCTGCCGCCCCAGCCCAGCCCGCCTGCTCTCCTTCCACGGGCACACACTGGCTCTTCTGTCTTGAAAACAATGCTGCGAAAATCACATCTGTGTTTTTCCTACAGTTTTAAAAATGGTTATGTTCGGAAAGACCAAAAAGATCCCTTTGGTTCCGCCTTCTCTCTTGTTCTAAGCTTAGCTATGCTATGCTATGTTCTGCTGGAGCAAGAACTTACAACGACAGTGGAGAAATGAAAACTTGGTGGTGAGGAGCTCAAAAATTTCTTTCTGAAAAAGCTGATGGCAACCCTTATCTGGCAGAGATCATGGTTCCAAATACAGTGCAGTCAGTTTTGGTTTTCAGAACAGACTTTAAGTCGCTCTTAAATTTTGTCCCTCCATGTTTCCAAACACCTCTTGCTTCACTGTGCAAATGTGACATTTCTTCTGGTACAAAGTCATGTCTTTTTCTTTGTGGGAATAACGAGCCCTTACTTGCTGGCTGCCCCCTGTACTCCGTCCTCTCAAAAGAGCCTTTGTTTGCGCTGCCCCAACTCTCCACCCCAACAGAAACATGGCTCCATTCTATCAGCCCGCAGCGCTCTGCAGAAAGCTCACTCAGAGGCATGCGCTGGCCATGCCGAGGGAACGAGCCACAGCCAAGGAGACATGGCACGCGCAGCACCATTGCCCACCAGGCGGGGGATGGGGCAGGGGCTGACCCCCACGCTGCGGCCCAGCGGAGGTGGCAAAGACGACATCTTCAAACAGGTTCACGGGCTCTTTGCAAGGTGACCGCTTTCCTCGGTGAACAGTGAGGAAAGTCCTCACAGGAAGGCAGCTCAGCACAGGGGTCCGCCTGGCGTGGCAGCTGCAGACACAGACCAGACTGTCCCAGCCAGCCGGGGCGGGCCCAGTCTCAGCCCCAGACACACACAGGCACAGACACACACCATCGCATCACTGGGCCACAATCCCCACCTAACGAACCTGGGGTTCAAAGATGTAGTGAGGTCTGCCCATGCTTTATATGGTAACGGCAGTGGGCCACAGCTCCATCACACCAGGGGAGCTTCTAAAGAGATAACAGAAAAAAGCTCAAAAGTTGGGTAGGTACGCTCCTACCAACTCTTCAAAATCATTGCCAAGTGTTGAAGTATTTGTTATTTAAGTAGAGAGGGCAACAAACTGGGCCCCCATGTTAAGCATACTGCACAGTCAGGGACAGCATTTAAAGAATCCCCATCTGCTGAAAAATGAAACTTACCTGATCCTCCTGAAGGAACCTCTCCACGTCTCTGTATGCTTTTGTGTATTTGTGCTTAACAATGAGTTCACACCAGCGATGGCGAACCTTAAGAAAAGAGAGAAAATCCCATAAGCAACAAACAGGTAGGTTTCCGTGGCCTAACAAGTTTAATGATGGAGAACTTTTCCTGTTAGAAATTACTCTGTTAACACTGTTGAGACTTTAAAATTTCATTTTAACGTCTTTTACAAAGAAAGGAATCATGCTCTTCGTTAAGAGCGCTGCCAGTCAACTTTAGGGGAAGAAAGTGCATGTTTCACTTAAGTGTTCTGATGTTTTAAAATACAATTTTGCCATACAATACATAAATGCAGAACGTAATTGGGAAATTAAACGCACGGCCCCAGCCAGGCAGGCTGGTGCTCTGCCCTGCAGGATGCTGTCCATGAAGGTTTCCTTCATAAACCACAACTACTTAATTTCCTGCAATAAGTGATTTGGTCCAATGCTGCTGACTGTAACAATACACACAGTAAAAGGCAGAAGACACTGCTCTCCACATTCCTAAGAGGCAGAGAGAGCCTTCTGAGGAGCTTGGGGTATCTGCTGGAGGGGAGAGAAGAGCAGACCACCCTGATGCAGGCAGCTCTGGCTGCATGTTTTGCTGCTTGGCTGCATGTTTTGCTGCACAACCTACGGAAAACAGACAAGTTACATGTGTGTCCCTTTTAGTGAAGATGGGTGATGAAAGATTCACCAGCAGGAATTTGTCAGGAAGTCCTCCCCCAAACCCTACAGACAATATGGGAGTCTGATTCCAGCACTGGCTGCCTCTGCTGATAAGAGGCAGTCTCGCCACTCCCCCACCACCTCTTCATCTCTAGGCCACTTCAGACACGCTCTTTACATCGAGATTCTACCTAGATCCAGTCCTGGGCCATTGTCTACTGCATTAAAGCCCTCTCAATTATGCCCAGTGAGCAGTCCACCATTTTACATTCCATTATTGGTTCAACATTAGCTATACATGGAAGTGATTACATGCATTTAAAAAATAAAAAAGCCTCCTTCCATCACTCTTTGTTTTTACTGCCTTTGAAAGAGCAAGACCCTTTACAGCAATCCATTTGTGGCAATAGTAAAACGTAAGCAACTTCAACGCTTTGGCTGGGGCCCCTGTAAATTATATCATTTATGTACTGATGGCCGGATCTCTCCTTTAATCTACTATAAATAGATTTACACACAAACAATTAGGAACGAAGTAAAGAAACATTCTTTGGAAAGACTCCTTCCTCCAGGCCACAGCACACTCTGAGACACACGCTGGTGCCCTTTGCTTACAGGCAGCCAGGCCCTTTGAACTTCTAAGAACAGGATGCCAACGAACTTTTTACATCCACAAAGGAATTTCGGAGGTGCACGGAAATGAGCTAATAGCCTAGGATCATCACAACAAAAGGGAAGCTGGTTGGGCTGCACAGGTCTTGGAAATCTTTCCACCTTCAACAAACTGTTCTTTCCTATATGGCCAACAGAAAGGGACAGCATAAAGGGGAAAGGGTAGTGACCAAGATATTCTAGGCAGAATAACCACTGAACAGAGCCCAGACTGCACCAATCAGAGGAAGCTCCCAGAACAACCAGATCCCATTCTTGTGTTTTGGTTCAAGTACACGACAGAATCAAAAGGGTCCCTTGGTCCATTTCTCTGGTTTCTTTCCCAACTCAATGAAATCTAGATGCCTCAGGTACATCCATGCAGCAGCGGAAATGCCATGTTCTTTGTTCATAAGCTCTGGGAAAGGAGAAGGCCTGGTGGGAGGGCCACTGTGCAGCCTGAGAGCCAGGGCACTGGGCCACCTGCTCTGGGGCCTTGCAAGAGAGCCTTACTTCTCGTAATTGCACTTGGGGACAGCCGTCCCAGCTCTTAGCAGGGTCAAGTATAAGAGAAGTCTGTCAGCTCCACTGTGAGCTAAGGACAGGCTTGTGCACCAAGCCTTGGACAAGGACAGCTGCTGATCATTCCAAAACTTGGGGACGTTGTATTTTCTTAGACCTCATTCTGAGAATGGAGGTATTTATTATTGGCCTCCCATTCCCCCCCCCCCACCACTGCTCTCCTTTATCTTATTTACACATACAGAAACAACAAAATGCAAATTAGGGTTTGTTTCTTAGTAGGGTAAGTCCACTATGATTGGAAGAGGATCCAGGAGCTGGGCTGAGTGAGAGAGGCCTTCACAGTCAATATGAAGTCAGCATTGCCACTTCTCTTCCTGTTAAAAATCAGTGTATTGTCACAATTAATAAGAGATCTAGTCTTCCGACACCTGAAAGCTAACATGGCATCCAGGAAGTACAGACCAACCCCTTTCCCCACCCTACAAAGAGCAGGAAAAACAACAGGCCTTTTCATTACAACAGAATTAAATATATTGCAAAATTTCAATGATAGGATGTTTAAAAGACATCACAGAGATGCTGTGTGAGGCTGAGGGTCCACCAAATATTTCTCGCTTGTGGACAGGGTTTTCATTCCTCTTTGTATTTCTTTAAGAAACAAAGTAAATCTCTATCTTTTAGCCAAGGACCCAAAATTTGCAAGGAAACTGGTCACCACTTGGAACGGAGGTTTTCCTGAAAATGTGGCAGCAGGGTGACATTTGTCTCAATTTCTCCCAGCAGTATTTCCACAGTGGGCACTCATGGACTATCTTCCTTTCTCCAGACCACTGAGAAGCTCAAAGAAATCCCTGACAGAGGTCCTCACATACTCATACCCAGCTTCTTCCCCTGTTGATAATGGAGGAAAATGAAGTTCTCAGTGCTGGGGAGCAGTAGAGAATTCAGAAGTGGAGGCAGGGCTCTACAAACAAAACTATCCACTCTGTAGACCTGCTCTTCGTTATTTTTTAATTAATTTATCATCAATGGGGGCAGTGGTCACCTCGTCTTTCAACTTCCTAGGTGAGATGAAAAGTGAACACTTATGGGAAGGTCTGGCCCAGCCACAGTATCTGTGGCTTCTTGACTCTGTTCATTCAGCATTGGCATTCAACGGGTAGATACATACACCAAAACCGATCAATACTTACACTTTAAATATTCACATTATACCACAATGTCTCAAGAGAGAGAAAAAACTTTTAATGACTTATTCAACTGTGATTCAGATTCATAAAGTCACTCCAAACCCATGCTAGGAATCACCTGAAAGCCTTGAGCCAGCCAACATCTTAGCCTGAATTCCAGCAACGCTGTCAGGCTACCAAAGGCAAGAGGCAAGGGTGAGGGAGGGGGGAAACGGGTCAGGAAAAGAAGAAGAAAGCTGAGAAAATCAGAAAAGGGATAGTTCAGGAGTGGGAAGAGGTGGAGCTGCCCGTGGTGGTGAAGAGCAGGGCTGGGGGACCCCTGTTCCAGGAGCTCTAGAGCGTGTGGTCTCACAGGGCCCTAGAAGCCCACCTTTTCCTGAGTCTTCAGTGCAGACAGTGGCTGGTTCAGCCCAAATCCTGCTAGCGAGTGCCAGGGCAGGAGTGCGCCCACTGCCCAGGGCCATGCTGCCGGTCCCGTAACACAATGAAGCGTGTCTGTGCTAACAGGCCCGAGCCACCTGAGAGATGTGAGCAGACGTGGGCCAGAGATCCAAACCCTTTTCTGCACAGGCTATGTATACACGTGCATACACACACACAGAAACAAACGTTTCTTTTTTAACAGCTTCCCTCACTACGGCAACTACTGGTAAGTTTCTGTTACTCTTTTCTGTTTGAGGATCTACTGAAGTGATCTCACAACCCCTGGGTCCTGGCCCACAGAGCTGCCTCCCAAGCCGGGGGAGAGAACAGCCTCTGCTCGTGGGCTGCTGTGGGCGCCCACCCAGGTTGCCGCAGCAAAAGCATTAGGACAGCGACCCTCATAGTCATTGCTTGTCTACTTCAAAAGTTCTATTTATTGAATTTATAAAAACGTGAGAGTATCAACTCCAAGGAAAAGTCTGTTAACTGCTGAAAACCAGAAGAGCAAGTTGCCTGTCACGTGGGCAGTGAGGAAGGACGGACTGGGATGGGGTTGGGGGTGGGGTGGGACCACGCCAGGAAGACGAGCCTGGACTCAGGACAGTGAGACAGCAGCCGAGCGGCCGGTGGGGGGAGGAAGCCTGCAGGGAGGGTCCTCAAGCCTGGGGCAGCGGGCACTTCAAAAGCCACCCCTGGGAAGTATACCCAGGGGCCAGATGCCTGGGGACTTTGCAAACTGTTTGCAAAGACAGCCTGGCCCAGCACCAGCCTGAGTTGCATGGCCTTTCTACCATTTCAAGGACGTTATCGCTCCCAAGAGGCGAGCTGAATGCCTTCTGGCTGGCTCCCCTGATATCCGGCACCTGCCTTGTACGGTCAAACCATGGCTCAGATTCAGGGACAAGTCCCATGACCCAATGGGCACCTCTGTGATACAACCACGGCCTTGATTAGGACATGCTGGGGCTCCCTCCTGGAAAAGGAAAGAAAAACTACTGAAAGGTAACTCCCCACCTGCCCACCTCTCCCCAAACTCTTTTCAATCTGAAAATTTTAATGCATCCAGAACTAACTGCTATTAAACTCTAGAACAGGGGTTGCCAATTTTTCCTGTCATGAGTCACAGTGAGCGTCTATAGCTTCTCCGTCCATTTGCCCTGCTCCCTGCAGGAGCAGCCATAGGCAGTATGTGAATGAGAGGGCATGGCTATCTTCAGATAAACTTTAATTTTCAAAAACAAGCAGTGGGCTGGACCTGCAGTCTCAAGGCTGCTGACCCCTGATCTGCAAAGGAAGCCCATGCTGGTGAATGTTTAACACCCCCCCCCCACCCCCCCGCCCCCAATCCACCAGCATGTCGCCACAGAACACAGAGCCAGGAGGCCTTTGTGAGCTGGCTCCGGCCAGTGTCAGCCCGTCCTGCCAGGAAATCTAGGGTGTTCTTGACTGTGGGGCTTTTCTTTCCTCTGTGGGCCGAACTGCTTTGCACGAGAAACCTGCTCTGGCTTCCCTGGGAAACAGAGCACCTCTCAGCCTACAGCCAAGTGTGAACGCAAGGCGCCAGGCGTGGGTGTGTGGGGGATTGGA